TGTTCCTGAAGAGGTAAATGTAAAGCTGCCTTTTCTATAACTGTTTAAATGTACTAAGAGGAATGCTATTTAAGCGACCCCTAAAGTGACTCTTATAAAGCAAAGAGCCTGCCCCAAGTGAAATGTGTGGGCATCTGAGTATAATAAAGGCAGAGCTGCCCAGGGGCAGACAACAGACCTGTGGGTCAGCAAGAACAACTGAGAGTGGGGCTGGGGGAAACCCCACCCAAAGATGCCCCTAAGCTTTCGTACCAGAGCACTGGAAGTGGTTGGTGTCCAAGAGAAATCAGTACTCAACAGGCCTATGGGTTGGACTTAGGTGAGGAGGGAGGAGCACTGGCCACAGCAATGGCCCTATATGAGAGTACACATGCACGCATACACAGACGCACACACTTGCTGTGCTCCCCCAGCGCCAGTGTGCTCCCCTTGCTGCAGTTTCTACCACCCAGCAGGCAAGTATCTTCCTGTCTTCTTCCCTTTACTGGGTCCTCCAGGAATGTTAACTCAGTTTTTGCAACAGACTTGTGAAGCCCTACCAGGGACCTGGAAAGGTACCTAAGACTGAAGAAAGACAAAGAGGGAGGGGGGGAAGAAGAGAAGCAATGTGTGCATAACAGTGTACTCATTGAAGAGTAGGTATATGTGTGTGAGGGGGTGCGTGCACACACACATACATATGAACCCACAATCATGCATGCTAGCCTGTGTATGTGAGTTCCTGCTGGAGATGAAAATGCCTCTGACATCCACCCCAGGGAAAGAGTACTGTTACACAGACCAAAGCATTCTCTGACCACCCTTTCAGTCTTAAACAAACACACTTGAACTTGCAGCAGAAGAAATGTGGGTGGGACTATGAAGCATCACAGCTAGGAGGCGCCATTTACTTTATCTCCCTTAATGCAGAAGGGAGTCTGAAGAGCACAGAAGCCAACAGCACAGGCTGCCTGGGTTCCAATCCCAGCACCACCACTTACTAGCTGTGTGGCCTTAGGCAAGCAAAATAACATCTCTGAGCAACAGTTTAGTCTTTAATAAGATTAAGTGATGAAAATAGCACCTACTTTATAAAGCAATTCTAGGAATAAAACAAGAGAATGCAAGTACAGAGCTTAAAAGAGCACCTGGCAGATAATCAGCACTGAATGTATCTTGGCCAAAAGAAACTGGGAAGCAGAAGATAGGGACCTAGCCAGAGGCTTGGATTCCTGGCCAGTCACCGATTCATATTTGGGTATCTGAGGAGGTCCTTCCAGCCCCAGGGTTTGGAGTGCTCTTGGTCCCCTCTGCCCCTCTCTTTCCCCTCCACACAGGACCTAGAACCCTCCTCAATAATCCCCTCTAAGCCAGCACCAAGACTCCTGGCTTCCCTGCTGCTCACCTCCCACCCATCTCCATAAAGCCAGCTCCTGTTCCCTCTGCTGTGGCCCACATTTACTCAGCTGACCCACCCTGGCCAGAGCATAGGAGCTCATATCCCCAAAGCTTGCCTCCTCCCAGCTTCCCCAAGAAGCCCCCCATATGGTTGGCGGGGCTGCAGGGAAAAGGGATGGTGGGCAGGTGCCAGGCGGATACCACATATACAGACCTCTCTGTGCATGTCCAGCTACAGCGTGGCCACCTCAGCCCATCACCCACAGCTCTGCACCCCGCCCGCCTGATCCTGGGCTCTAGGATTGCTCTCCTGTGAAGGGGCCTTACCCACTCTCATTTTCTTTTCTATTTTATCTGCAAAATATTTCCTGAGCACCTACTCTGTGTTAGTTAGGCCTGGGGCCCTGCCCTCCACGGGGCTGGTTACTATCCACACCAGTATTTCTCCAATTCCCTAGAGGGCTGGTTACAACATAGAATCCTGGGCCTTTTCCCCAGAGCCTCTGATTCAGCAGGTCTGGGGTGGGGCCTGAGCTTTTGCATTTCTAACCTTTCCAGGTGCTGCTGGTTTAGGAATTACATTTTTAAAATTATTATGTAAGTTTCAAGTGTACAACATTGTAATTTGACACCTGTATACATTACAAAGTGATCACCCCCAAAAGTCTAGTTACTACACATCACCATATAATTAACCCCTCCCCCTTTGCCTACCCCTCAAGCTTTTTATCCTCTGGTTCTCTGAGTTTGTTTTGGTTTTGGTTTGTTTGTTCAGTTTTTTTTAAGATTCCACATGAGTGGATTCATACGGTTTTGTCTTTCCCTTTCTGACTTACTTCCCTTAGCATTATGCCCTCATACACCCCTAGTTCATTGCAACATTACGTACAATGGCTAAGAAACAACCTAAGTATTCATCTATGGGAGAATGGATTGGAATCACATCCTGAGAACCACTGGTTTACAACAAACTGTAATTCAAGGCAGACTGAAGCAAGGGCTTTGACCAGAGGAGAGAGAAAATTAGGGAAAGGGCATTGCAGGCAGAGGAAACAGCATAAACAAAGGCCTGGCAGCTCCAGGAAGTACAGGAGTGAAAGGTGCATGCAGGCGTGGTCTGGAGGGTGGCTGGAAGGGCACGTGGGGCCAGGCAGTGAAGGGGCCAGTGGGTGGCCACACCCCTTCCCTCTGGCTCCCAAGTAGTTGCTTTGTGCCAGGTACCCCTGGCAACTCTGCCAGGCTCCTTGGGCTCCAAGCCCATCTTCCTCCTCTGTAGCAACAAGGCACCCTAGGCCTGCCTTTCATAGGCAGCAGTGGGCAGCTGTCAGTATCTCTGCCCACCCTTCCTGGGTGACTCCCTGGAGCTTTGGGAGCCAGCCCAGAGGTGCCAGGGAGGTGTTCCAGGTGAGCCAGCATGTGTGCTGTGGGCGTGCCGTGCCCCAGCCCCTGTCTACCAGCTCGTTCTATCTGCACCGGGATCTGGGGCTGGGTATGTGTTTGTTGCCACTTGAGCCAGAGCAGTTACTATGGGTAGATAATAATAGCAATCGTAATCCCTCATAATTGGACCAGACTTTGCTGTCTGCAGGGCACTTCCATGCCCATGACCTCATCTGACTTCCACAACTACCCTGTAGAACAGGCACAGCTAGAGTTACTATCCCCACTTCACAGCTGAGCAAACGCAAGCCCAGATGGCCTGAAGTTACATCTTCGGAAAGTGGCATGTGCAGGGCTGAGACCTGGGACTACTGACTCTTTACCCAGTGCTCTTTCTCTATTCTGAACTGTCATAATAGAGAGCCCCATCTATTGCTCCTCCTGGAAGGGCAGGGGCTCTGCTGCCCAGGGCAGCATAGTCTAGTACCAGGAAGAGTTTGGTTCGGCTGTTCCCACCTTCCCCACCTGTGGGGGACAGCTGATCACCAACTGCAGGTGCATGGACACAAAGCTGTGTCAGCACCAGTCAGGACATTGGACCAGGGGAGGAGGGTCAGGGTCACCTAATCCAACAGAGGAGCGAAGCCAGGCTCAAGGAGGAATGGAGTTATCCACGGCCACAGCTGCCATTCAAGAGCACAGGTGGCCACAGATGGCCCCAACTCTATGGCGGCAGGACCTGTAGCCCCTAGAAGCCCTGCCCAGAGGGCTGCACCAGGCACTTTCTTTCCAGCTTGTTGGGTATGCGCTCCTCCATGGCACCCAGTAGGTTTCCAGGCTGGGAAGGCAGGTGTCTGGGCTTCATGCTCCCACGCACCCATGTGTGTGTGTTTGTGTGTGTGTGTGTGTGCGTGTGTGTGTGTGTGTGTGTCCATACCAGGACCCACACAGGCAGGCTCTGTGGGAAAGGCTCTGATCCGGGAGGAGGGAGACCAGGCTCCCATCTGGACCCACCACTGAGTAGCTGGGCTCAGCTTCCTCATCTGCAAACTAGGGCCATCTGTCCTTGCCCCACTTGTTACAAGGGTTGTCCCTAAAGGACCAAATTGATGGAAACTACCCAGAAAACAGAAACACACTCTAAAAAAGGAGCAAGCCCAGGAAGAAGGTGAGCAGGGAGCAGGTCTCAGAGCTGCCACTCCTCAGAGTGCTCAGGGCCCCGCACCTGGTACTAGGTATCCACCCTGATTCCAGAAAGACAAACTGTGCCCCACGAACACGCCCTACTACTCCCTGGTACCACCAAAAACCACCACCCCTCACCCCTGCTCAGGGAAAGAGTAGCAGGCAGAGAGAACTGTGGGGACCAGGGCATGGCAGATAAGACACCCCAGGAAGGCCAGTGGCTGGCACAGCTTCCCCAGAAGGTTGGGGGTGGGGTTTACTATTCCACTGCCTGAGGGGGGTGCAGTGGGCTTTGCCTGTAGGTGGCACAGTTTCGTGAGGTCCTAAGGCAGCCTGTAGAGACCCAGCAGGACTCCCTCCCACCAGTTTTGAGCCTGTCTATCTGACTTAGGCCCACCCGGAAGTTCAGCAGAAGGGCCAAGAGGTCACCCCTCGTGGAGCTCTAAAAACAAGGAAGTCACTAGCTCCACGGGCAGCCTGGGGTGGGGGTGGGGGATAGGAAATCACCATCTCCATGGTGACTGGTATCACCGAGCACAGCACAACGCAGCCCTGTGCCTGACTGTCTGTGCAGGAGGGGGTGCCCTCAATGACTTCACATCTACCGAGCCCCTCTGAACTTGTCTTTGGCCTTCCAGAAGCTAGTGGATCCCTTGGAGAAACAGAGGCAGCTAAAACAGGTAAAGTGACTCACCTGAGGACACAGCTAGTAAAAGGAATCCAGGTTTGGGGACTCTGCAAGGCCGACCCAACAACTGCACAGACCTAGGGTTTGAACCTCTGCTCACACACCACGGGGCATGGGGGTGGGAGGGGGAGTCTGGGTCCTGAAGCCTGACTACCTGGCTCAAATCCCCACTCTACCACCAGGATCTGACTGACCTCTCCAAGCCGGTTTCCTCGTCACCAAAATAGGGCTACCAGTCCTGGCTGTGCCCTGTGTGAAGACTGAGTGGCGCGGTCCAGCGCTCAGCACACCTGAGCTGTTGTGACTTGGGAAGAGGCCCTCCCCCACCTGGGCTCTGGCTAGAAGGTCCCCAGCAGAGCCAGCTGCTCACCTTGCGGTCCTCCTCCCGCTCCAGAGTGGAGCTGCTGGTGTCCCCGGGGCCGCTGGAGGGCATTGCGGGCAGCTGGGTGGTGGGAGGCAGGCTGGGGCTGCGCGGGGCTGGAGGGCTGCTTGGTTTTGCGGAAGGAATTCTCGTAGTCTTTGTAAGCAAGAGTTAAAACTTAGACATAGATCCGAGTGCTGAGTGGAAAAGGCAGGTGAAACTCTGCCTCAGGCTGCCTGGGTTTGGGGTTCTGATGGCTCCACCTGTTGGGGGAGAGAAGAGGGGTCAGCAGGGTAGGACACCCCCAACCCGGCCCGCCTGACCCCACCCCCTCCTCAAGGCTAGGCCCTCAGCCCCAGGGCCGTGCTGGCCTGCAAGGACTGTTCCTCTGACCTCACGCCTCTTCCCAGTCTCACCAGCAGCGCAGGCCAGCCTAGCCCTCCAGGGAGCGGGGGAAACAGAGGCACGAGCACTGCCTGGCTTCCTTCAGGGCCACCTCCTGCCTCTGAGGCAGCAGCAACAGTCTCCCCGGGTGTCCACGTTGCTGTGGCTCAGTGGGAGCCACTTCTGGGACTTCAGCTGCCTTCCGCCTCCTCCCTTCACTTCATTCACTTCTATTCTTTCCTTTGAAAGGTTCCCATAACCCTCCCACCCCAACCACCCCCTGGGAAATCCCAGAGGTCCCCAGCCCAGCTACATTTTCCTCCTGATCTCCAAGCGCCACCCCCACACCGCTCGCACCCCATGTGGAGGAAGTGAATGAGCACGGCAGTATACAGGATGTAGCGAAATGAATGTCACCTTACTTTAGGACCAGCGCTTGGGCTCAGAGAAATCTAAGAGTGAACTCTGGCTGCGGCCAGGCTAAGGGCCTAGGTCTGTAGTGCTTTGGGGTGAGAACACCCCGGTATGCTGGAGAAGCCACGGCCACGCAGAGAGAGGATGCGAGGCCCGCTCTCTGCCACCCCATTTGCTTTCAGAAACTGGTAGGCTTGAGGGGGGCCCTCGAACCCACACAGCTGAATTTTAGGGGATTTTCACCCTCCCTGCCTCAGGTGTGGGCCTCATGCCAGTGAAATAACAAAGCCGCAGGCCTCAGCTGGGGGTTGGAGTGCTGCGGGCTTCAACCCTCTGCACTTAGACACAGGAGATGTGGGCCAAACCCCTGCCTCCAGAGCGCCAGCCAGGGCCGGGGAGGGGATTGGCAGGGGGAGGAAAGTGGGAGGCAGGCTGGATCTGAGCCCACCCACACCCTTCCCCTTCCAGTTCCTGTTCTGCTTCCCTGGGCTCCCCCTCCCTCCAGGGCTTCTCCTCCCATCCCCCTCCAGCCAGGCTCCCTGGAAAACCAGGAAGCAGAGAAAGCACAGGCTTGGGTCTCCCTGGGGCACAGCTCCTTCCCCAGGGACAGGCACTTGGCTGGGAGGTGGGTGCCCCAGTCCTGGCTCTGCCCAGGGTGTGGAGGGGGAAGCTGAAGCTGGGGGGGCCTCCTTAGGACCAGGACAGTTAAAACCCAGAGAGGCTGCAGGTGCTCCACGCCCCACAGGTGAGCCCTAGGAAGCCTGAGGTGCAATGCATGCTTCCAAGTTTAGCACAGTGCTGGCTCAGTGAATGTCCACTGCCCCAATCACAGGAGGGGGGAGATGGCGATGATGAGAGCTCCATGTGTCAGACACTATGCTAAGCACATGACAGGTCTTCCTCCCTTGGGCAGCTACTAGTATTATTACTGTCCCTCATTTACAGATGAATCTGGGCTTGGAAAGGTTAGGATTTGTCCATATTCAGTGTCAAAGCAGAGGCTCAGATCCAGAGCTCCCTCTCTCCAAAGCTCTGAGGGGTCTCCATGACATCTGTCCCCACAACTTACACCACCTACAGAAACAACTCCTGCAAGCCAACTTGAGAACTGGTCCAACCCAGAACTCCACTCCACGAGGCTTCCATCCATTATAAACCAGCAAGTCCCCCTCAAACCCACTCCGTCTGTTAGCACAAACACCCCCAACCACCCCCACATCAAAACCTTCAAAAGGATGTGGAAGCTAAGAGAGGCAGAGTCTGGTGAGAAAACAGAGCCCGGAGTCAGCAGGCTGTGTCCTAGTCCTGACTCAGGTTTCTCTGGCCGTTTCCTCATCCGCAGATTGGACAGTTGCGCTAGATGATCTACAAGACTGTCTTCTACCTCAGCCCAGCCAAACTGCTGGAGGCCCCAAGGGCAAAAGAGAGCCCAAGAGCCCCAGAATGGAATCCAAGGAGACCCAGGCCCAAAGTAAAAAGGCAAATAATGTTGCCCTGAGGCCTAGAAACATCCAGGGAGCTTCTGTAAGAAAACAACACTTTCAGCAAAACTCTGGCTGTCAGTGAGAAGAGAAAGGACGCAGGAGGAAAAGGCAGAAGACAGTAAGGCACTAACCTGACAACAGACACCCTGGAAAGGAAAGGAAAGGAAATGCTTTTCTCTTCCCCTCCCTCCACATGCACCCCAACATCTGAGCTGCATACACTGTCCTCACAGCAAATACAGCTGACATGGGTCAATCTTTAGGTTCCTCTATGTTACTCAATGGAACTTGCCTATCAGTAAGTGTCCTGCATAATCATCCAGCACCATCTAAAACCATCTAGCACGTGGCCAGGCAGGCCATGCCCTGCACCACTCCAGGGACCCACTGCAGTAGCCAAGGTCCAGGCCTAGGCACAGTACTTCCCACTTGGCCTTTAGAAGCTTCCCTTTTTCCCTGAAGTGTCCCTGCCAAGGGAAGTGACCTGCTCCTGGTCCCACAGTCCAAACACAGAGGCATGCGTCCACCATGACAGTTCTTGCAAGGCATGGCCCTGCTGCTCCTCCACACCCACACCAAAGACTGCACCCAAACACACCACCAGAGGAAAATCCTTGCCAAGACCCTACCACCAGGAGAAGCAGCTTTTATTCCTTCCTTATATTTCTAATGTCCACAGTGGCCATGAATAATGTTTATAACAACAACTTAAAAACTCTTTTTTAAAGGAATCCCATCATCCTGGTATCACAATGGACATGGTCACCGTCATTACTATTCAATGACAAATCTGTTGTGGAAAAGGAATTGGGATTTTGAATATACACACCAAATTTCAGGATCTTCTAAATCCAACTTAGTGGAAAGAGTTTTTAAATAAGATGTAAAGTCACAGATTGGGCTGAACAGAGGGGAGACACCACCAGTGACATTTCGGAGTCTGGAATGCAGACTTGTGACAGGCCAATTTCAGGCGGCGCATGGAAACTGATTTACAACAGAGTCCTTAAAAGACACTTGATATGACAGCACCAGGTACCTCCAGGAACAGGGGTGAAGAGGATGGATGTGTGAAAACAAAGAGGATGGCATAAAAGAAGCAAAACCCCTAGATCCACCTCCCCCAGAAGTCAGAAGGGTCATTCCATGGAGAGCACAAAACAGAGGGTCTTTGCACAAAGAGTTGACTAGCCAATTGAGAGCAAAGGTATTATACCAAAACCAAAAACATGAAGGTTATTATAAATGTGATGTTGTGAGCTACCAGCTACTCCCCCACTGGGGTCCTAGAACATTGGCAGCCAAACCCGTATCTTCTTTTCAGTCTAAGAGGAAAGGCCTAAGGATACAGACACTGACACCAGAACCCAAATGGTGTCCACTTGACTTGTGTAGGTCAACCAGTGGATCTGCAAGTCAACAAGCCCCACCATCATGCTTGTATATTCCAATCAGCTTTTTAGACCCCTGTTCATAACCTTAAAAGGACAACCAAGGGCAACTAAACATCTAAGGAAAGTCTCTAACTTGGAAGAGAGAGACCAGGACAAATAAACCAAAAAAAACCAAAAACACCCAACACAAAACCAAACACAACTTGGAGGAAACACATTTTATGCACAGAGGCGATACTACATTCATGAAAAAAGAACCTGATGCTACTAAAAAAGAACATTCAGAGAACATAAAAGAACTCTAGAAATAAAAATCGTGTTAGCAGAAATACAAAACTCAACAGAAGGAGTATATTAAAAGGAAAAATAAGCCTGGACAGGTAGCTCAGTTGGTTAGAGCGCCAAGGTTGTAGGTTCGATTCCCGTTCAGGACACATACAAGATGCAACAAATGAATGTGTAAGTAAATGGAATAATAAACTGATGTCTCTGTCTCTTCCTCTCTCTCTCTCTCTCTCCCCTCTCTCAAATCAATAAATAATTTTTTTTTATCCTAAGAATCCTGAAACACTAATCAGAAAGAATATATGCACCCCTATGTTCATAGCAGCACAATTTACAATAGCTAAGATCTGGAAACAGCCCAAGTGCCCATCAGTAGATGAGTGGATAAAAAAGCTGTGGGACATTTACACCATGGAATACTACGCAGCTATAAAGAAAAGGCTCTTTTATCCTTTGGGACAGTATGGATGGAGAAAATTATGCTAAGTGAAATAAGCCAGGCAGAGAAAGACAAACATAATATGACCTCACTTATATGTGGAATCTAAAGAACTCAATAAACTGATGAACAGAACAGATTCAATGACATGGAAGCATGGATCAGACTGACGAATGTCAGAGGGATGGAGGAGGGCGGGTGGGTAGAGGAGGGGAGAGTAACCAAAGAATTTACATGCATATATGCACAACCCAAGGACACAGACAATGGTGGGGAGGGGGA